TCCGGGTGGTCAAATTATTTGGGTGGGTCGACTGGGTCAAAGAAAAAAGAGGAGTGGGTTTAGTTTAGCCAATAGAACTCTGACACGTGACTTTTTATAATTTAAAATTGGAATTTGACGGCAGAGGTTTATTTTGAACAAGAGACTTGAACGGTAGGGACAATTTTGATCAAATAGTATAACGGAGGACAGATCTAGCTTATTTTAGCTAGTAGAGGGATATATATGACCCTTTTCCGTTTCATAAATTGCTATTAGGTAGGTGAGAGTGTTTCTTGTCGTACTAATAATATCAGTCATTGTGATGACCCAAAGGGTCATCTTTTGTTTTAGAACCCGAATCCGGGTTTCGAGGCCTTGAAAACCTCTTTTTCTTTCTCCTCAATCTGCGTGCACAGTCCGGGCGCATTTTCGATAAGCTTATGTGAAATTTAAGAAAAATATTGAATTGGCCTTTAAAAATTGATTAAAGTTGACTTCGGTCAATATTTTTGGTAAACGGACCCGAGCCCGTGATTTGGCGGCCCCTTAGGATCCGTAGTAAAATATGGGACTTGGGCGTATGCCCGGAATCGAATTCCAAGGTCCCTAGCCCGAGAAAAGAATTTTAAAAAAAAATTATTTGCTGGAAAATATAAGGACTTTTGGAAAGGAAATGGTGTGTGATCGTGATGGTATCGGGCCCATATTTTGGTTCCGAAGCACGGTACAGGTTTAAAATAATATTTAAGTCGAATTTGTGAAATTTGGTAAGAATCGGAGTTGATTTGATATAAATCGGACCCTAGGTTGAGAAAATAGAAATTTTGAACTATCTTATAAATTTCATGAATTTGAGGTTAAATCCGTAGTTGTTGATGCTATTTTGATGATTTGATCGCACGAGCAAGTCCGTATGATATTTTTAGACTTGCGTGCATATTTGGTTTGGATCCCCGAGGGCTCGGGTGAGTTTTGGATAGGCCACAGAGTGAGTTTGGACTTAGAAAATTTCTGTTGTAGCTGGTATTTTTGTTGCAGGCTCTGATCTCGCAATTGTGAGGTCAAGCTTCGCAATTGCGAGCCTAACAGGCTTGGCAATTGCGAGGGCTTTATCGCAATTGCGAAGAAGCCCAGGCCAACACTTGTTAGCATTTGCGAATTGCGAAGTCATCAGGGAGGGGCTAGTCATCGCAATTGCGACAAATTGCTCGCAATTGCAAGGGGAGCGGACATGCAGCAGGTTCACAATTGCGAAGCCTGTCTCGCATTTGCGAGCTTCGCAATTGCGAAGCTCCAGTTGCAATTGCGATATCTGCACCTGAACAAAACATCATTGGACGGGATTTTCACTTCATTCTTCAAAAATTCGAACCCTAAACATCCCTAGGCGATTTTTCAAAGACTCAAACTTCTCCAAATCATAGGTAAGTGATTTCTAACTCATCTTCTTCAATCTAATTCAACTTTTTACATGATTTCACTTCAAAATCTAGGGTTTTTCAGGAAATTGGGTGTTCTTGGGTAGAAATTAGGATTTTTAAATTTTGGGGATTTGGACCTCAAATTGAGGTCGGATTTCAAAACCAATTGTGTATTTGAGTTCCTGGGTGAATGGGTAATCGGGTTTTTGTTCGAACTTCGAGTTTTGATCAAGCGGGCCCGGGGTCAGTTTTTGACTTTTTGGGGAAAATATTGGGAAATATTTATTCATGCATTAGAATTGGTTTATTTAGCATTTATTGATGTTATTAAGTAAATTATGACTAGATACAAGCGGATTGGAAGTGGAACCGAGAGGTAAAGCTATAATTGAGGCTTGATTTTGCCCGTGGAATTGAGGTAAGTGTTTGGTCTAACCTTAGCTTGAGGGAATATGTGTTGTGGTCTTATTTGCTACATGTTAGTGTTGAGTACGACGTATGCGTGTGGTGACGAGTATCTATACGTTGGTGTCGAATATGCAAATGAATCTTATATTATGACCGTTATGTCTTTTATCACGTACCGTTCATGCTTAAAAAGATGTTTCTCTATGTTGAGCAAGTTGTATGATAGTGTTGAATATTTGATCATTGTTGAGTATTGACTCAAGTTGGGAATTACTTCGTGAAGTTAATTGTTGAAACGAAATTGGTTATAGCTGATTCCCTTGCCGGGATGTTATTGTTTGTATTGTTGATTCCCTTGCCGGGATGTATTGTTTCTATTGTTTGGGTGAGGAGGAGTGTAAAGCACGAAGGGTGATGCCGTGCATGATATTGTGAGTGAGTGTTAATGCAAGAAGGGTGATGTCGTCTCGATATTGAGAGTGTTAATGCACGAGGGTGATGCTGTGCCGATATTGTGAGAGTTAATGCACGAAGGGTGATGCCGTGCCATGATTATGAGAGTAATGCACGAAGGGTGATGCCGTGCCGTTTCTGTTATTTTCTTATGGTGAGGACGAGAGTAAAAGCACGGAGGGTGATGCCGTGCACGTGTTACTGTTTCATTATTTCTGTTGATACAAATATGGTGTTCATTATGCTTCTCTATTGAATTACTGTTAGAATTTGATATTCCCCGCAGCATGTTCCCCTTCCCATCTTTATCTGTTATTTCCTGTTATTATTGTTCTGTTCGTATATGACTTAATTTCACAGGTTTATATGGTTGTCGTGTCCTAGCCTCGTCACACTTCGCCGAGGTTAGGCTCGACACTTACCAGTACATGGGGTAGGTTGTACTGATACTGCACTCTGCACTTTTGTGCAGATTTCGGTGCTGGACCTTGTGAGTAGCTTGAGGTAGCTGCCTTCAGTCCAGGGAGACCAAGGTAGATCTACTAGCGTTCGCAGAGCCTGAAGTCCTCCTTTCCCCGCTTTAGTTTTCTACTGTCTCTTCTATTTCGAGAACAGTTGTACTTCCTTCAGACTTTTATTTGTAGTAAATCTTAGTCGTTCGTGGATTGTGACACCAGATCTATGGGGTAGTTATGCACTTGAGTTGTGGCTTTGTTATATCATTTTTTCGCATTTCTTAATTATCTTGTTTTAACTATTATTTGTTCCTGTTTGGCTAATAATAATGGTAGTAAAACTGAAATTGTCGGCTTGCCTAGCTTTCACGAGTAGGCACCATCACGATTCCCGAGGGTGAAAAAACTGGGTCGTGACAGTCTTGTATTCTATTATTGTTAGATTTTTATTACTATATTATGTTCCTTTCCCTTTCTTTTTTTCTTCTTATTCTCTTGATGTTGCTACTACTTTCTTTCTATCTTTCCTTGAGCCGAGGGTTTATCGGAAACAGTCTCTCTACCTTCAAGGTAGAAGTAAGGTGTGCGTATACACTACCCTCCTCATACCCTACTTGTAGGATTATTTTTGCTATTGTCGTTATTGTTGTTGTTAATAAATACCTATTAGATTCTCAATACTTTCAAAAGTATAAGGGGTCGCTTGGTACACAGACTAAATTATCCCGGGATCATAATCCTGAAATTATAATCTCTATACTAGTTCATCCCACCTGGGAGGTGGAATAAATTAATAGCAAGTTTGATTAGATAAGGTGGGATAAGATGAGATATCCAGGATTAAGTCTGACACTAAGGGCCTGTTTGGCAAGTCACCAGGTAATTGGAATTGGTGTAATTACACAGTTGTGTAATTACGACAACCTGTTTGTTTGTCCTAGTGTAAATACAATGTAATTACAAGTTTACTGTTTGGTTACACAAATGTAATTACACAGTTAGATTAAAATTTAGTAAATAAAGTAATTATCAAAACTTAAAAGCTAATATAATAAATATATGCCTATAAATTTTTACAAGTATAAATGATATTATATTTGGTATTTAAGATGTATATTTTTTCGTGAATATACATTAATGAGTAATCATATATTTATAACTAATATTGTAAAAATAGTTTATATATATTTTCCAAATTAATAAAATTTAGTTTAGTTACTTACAAAAACTAAAGACATGCGTTTTGTAAGAATATCATGGAATACATGTTTGATAAAATAAATTAATAATGTCATAACATTATTCAAATGTTTGACAAAACTAATCTATCAATTCTAACTAAAAAATGAACAACAATGCAATGTGAACCAATACTAAAACAAGTAATAAATTGAAACCATGAATATAACACAATTGTGAAATCCAAGAAGAAAAAGAATAGTTTAACATATGTCAAATTCCAAAATAATAATAGTAAGTTCCATTACAATTTAAGATTAGGAAACATAATAAGTTTATAACCACATTCAACAACGAAATTTCGCTTTAATTGCATCACTCATCATATGCCAAGTTTGTTAATGACTCATTATTTTTAATATTAGGAGGTGTAGTTTTAAAAAATAGAATAATATCATAAATAAAAAATAAAATACAAGCAATTACATGAAATCACAAGAAGTAAAGGTAGAGAAATAAAAGATAAATATTGTCAGAAGAAAAATATATTTTAAAATTTCAAAAGAAATTAAAAAGTAAAAATAAAATTAAAAAATTAAATAACAGAAATAAAAAGTTATAAAGAAAATAAATTAAAATAAAAAACATAAAGGAAAGAAACTAAAAAGCAACCTTGTAATTACACAGTATAATTACCACCAATTCTCACCTCCCCTTGAGAATTGGAGAGTGTAATTACACCCCTCGAATTACACTCAATTCCATCATGACCAAGTAATTACTTGGCCTAACAAACATACCAAACTGTTTAATTACACCCAAATCCAATTCCTAGCTTTCCAAACAGACTCTAAATTTATAGATATTTGGTTGACGATAATTTATCCCGAAATAAATTTATATGGTCAACTAAACATAATAGAAATTTAGTACCACACTTTATCCCCTTTTCCACGTACCCCTAATAGATTCAATTGTAAATATGTAAAGATTCAATCATCAAATTAAAATTTTAAATTTCGCTACCAATGGCAAACATGTCAATAAACAGCAACTGAAACATCAGCATCTGCTAACTTCCAAGCTCTGCCTCGATGTGTACTTATATATTTTCCTATTCCACACCATTAGCACTACTCATTTCTACTTTCAACCCATCTCTCTAAATAATTCAAAAATTCGCGTCAAATTAATTTTCTCACGTTCCACAATTAATATATCGTAGCACACAACTTCTTATATTAAAATCTTGAAAAAATTTCGTTGAAAACAATGCCTTTAATCTCTTCATTCTTTGTTATTCTTCAAAGGGTCATTACATAATCCTGAAACAAGAAAAGGGGTGAATTGGTTACTGCTAAAATGCTTCAATTGTATTGCTCCCGCTCATCAACTCCAATACTAAGTCCAAGATTCAATCAGATTTCTCATTTTAAGAGGTTTGTTTGTATATGCATGTATAGAACTAACTGTATATGTTTGTCATTAATATGTTTTAGATATTGAGAAATAGAGATTTTAAGTGTTTAGTATGAGTATAAATATGCAATGAAGTTTAGATGCAGTGGAAGTTCTCTTCTTGAGTGTCCTGATGAATAGTTGTTCATCTTTTTGAGAAACATACTTGTTGTGATTTATTAGTGTAAGTGTTTGGTAAAATGCCAAGCTTAAAGTAATTCAAAATGTCACTCATATTGAACTACCATTGACTGCCATTGTACCTCCTCTTTTGAAATTCCTGCTAGTGTATTCTAGGTGTAGTCTTGCGCACAATAATTCTTATCCTCTCGAGCCGAGGGTCTTTCTGAAACAACCTCTCTACCTCCCAGGGTAGGGGTAAGGTCGGCGTACCCTACCCAGACTCCACTTGTGGGATTTTACTGGATTTATTGCTGTTGTTGTTGCATAAATAAAATAAAGTTATGAACAACATAAATGATATTGTAAAAAGTACTCCTAGTAAGTATGGAATAGGATTATTTAGCAATTGGTTTTCAACTGTAGTGCATTGTAGAACATGATTATCAGCTCTGTAGTACACCGTTCAAGAAATGGAACCGGTATCTTAGTTGAATACGATATCCTTTTCTAACATTGGCTTATTAATTCTCTTACATTATTTAGCCATTTTTGGCTCCGTAGGTATGGAATAAAACAAAAAGAAGTTATGAACAATAGAAATGATATTGTAAAAAGTGCTCCTAGTACGTATGGGATAGGATTATTTAGCCATTGGTTTTCAACTGCAGTGCATTGTAGAGCATGACTATCAGCTCCGTCGTACATAGTATAAGAAATGGAACTGGTATCTTAGTTGAATACGATATCCTTGTTAATGCTTCCTTTTCATCTTGCCTTGAGCCGAAGGTCTATTGGAAAAAGCCTCTCTACCTTCACAAGGTCTGCATACACACTACCCTTCCCAAACCCCACTTGGTGGTATTACACTGGATTTGTTGTTGTTATTATTGGTTCCGTAGTTTCATCCATCTTCATAAACAGAGCCGTGAGTGTTGGACTATCCTCCAATTGAGTTAGTTGCATATCTTGCTGTCACCAAAATAGAATAGCAAACCAACTATATTTCTATTATAGCTGAACAGTTTCCTAAGGTGGAAGAAATTGCTGCAATTACTTGATTTGTTTTGTGGAAAAGGTTGACTGTTGGAAGTATATTTGGTCTCTATATTCTTTGTATTTAAAATTGACTATGCTGTTCTTTGAATTTGCTGTCTAGAAATGTCGCAATCAACCTCTTTTAGAATTCAGACTAAGGGTGTCTAGAAATACTGGATCTTGGTCTCTTCTAGTGCTGTACCAGCCTCTTTCCTACCAAAATGTCGCATCTTTCAGATTTAACAAACTCGAAGAAACACTAGATACTCAATTTTATACTGGATATTCTAAAGTGACAGTTCTTAATGGGCAAACAGTGGTTGAAAATCTCTGAGGGTTCATTCATATAGTACGTTGATTATGGACTAGATATACATTTTTGGTCAGGTATTTGGTTGGCTATATTGAAATAGTAAATATGCTAGTGTTATATTTGGCCAAGCATTCTACATTTTTTGATGGTACGTTAAAGTCAATGCATAAGCTCAGATATTTGTGCATAAGGCAGCTATGGCCTAAAATATTCATGTGATATGGAACCTCTCCTTTCAGTGCATTGTTCATCTAAAGCTATTGTAATTTCCAGAAAGTCATTGGCTTGTGCCTGTCGGAGAAACCATGCTTCTGACTTTTGCATGAATGACTGGTTGGCCAAAAGTAAAGGTGAGTATCTAGATAATATATTTTTAGTATGCTGTATAAGATGAGTGGTTATGCCAAAAACAAGCCCCTTTCCGAACTGCATCCTAGTAATGCTTGTTACTCATTTCAACCAGGAAAGGTGCCGAGCATTCAAAAGATGACATGCAGACAGCTAAATTCCTCAGGAAACATGAATATCTGGGAAAATCTGAATCCTCAGCCGTTGAAGATGTATTTGAAGAATAATTCTGAGGTCCCAAAGGCTTGCCACTAACTCTAAATTAGTTTCAGTTTAAAACAGAAACTTTACGGATTCTAAAATAGGTAGTATTTAATTCTTTAGATTTAATTGACTGAGCCATGTTACTTTCAGCCATGGATGATATATAGTTCAATGGTTCCTCTACTTATCAAGAAAAGGAATTCTGTGGTTTGTGCTGGATCATTTGTTGTCAGATATCTTCAAATTTGTTGCTTTTGGTTCTGCTTCTGAATTGTTTACTAAATACCATCTCTCAACACTATAGTGTTTTCCCTACGTTTGGGAATTTGGTCTTATCAATAATCAAGAGATACGCAACTGAATGTTGATAGTTTGTCCATATAAAACTTAATCATACTTCTCCTTGGACCCTTCTTAGAATTTCATGATCTGCTTCTGATTTAGTTCTCACCTTGAATCTGAAGTTGATTACCTTCAGAAATCTACAGGAAACTATTATCGGTACTTATTTTTCAAACACTTCTGTCACTGCGCAAACGTGGACCCTGCGTAAACGCGAAATGCTTCTTGCACCGGGCTGCCCTTTTTTTCCTTTCTATCATAGTGCAGAGAAAAATCCATTTTTGAGCTTATAGAGAAAATTCCATCTTTAAAGAAGTAAATATTTGGTTGTTATTTTAGTTCTGTAAGTACGGCACTGCACCCGGTATATGAATGCCATCTTTGTCCTGAAAACTGAGGTAGGTTACAAATTCTCCAGTTGTTTAATGTAACATTTAAAAAGTCTGATGAGGAAAAGCTGAATATCAAGTTGTGAGTCTGGTTCTTGATGACATAAACTTCTGCTCCATATTGGGAGTATACAGCTACCTCTGTTCTTCCAATGTTTTAGCTGATTCCACTTCCATTATACTGAGGAATTTTTCCATTCTGTATGTTGTTGAGATGTAATTTTCTGATCAAATTTGTGCGAGTTCTTCTTTAAACTGGTTTCTACAATGCCAAATTTTTTATTGGAAACGCTCAGAGGTGGATCAATTATATCATTTAAATATTTACTAATGAGAATGTTTAAATGTGCAGGACTTCCCAGCTAAATTTGTAATAGCTTCGTTGGCATCTTATTTCCTGATTAAGTTGAAGCATCTACATCTAATTGGTATGAAGATGGGGATGATCCGAGAGTTATTCTTCTTTGTAACTCAAACATCAGGCGCTCAAAGTTTATCTTTTGCTTGTCTTTCTAACTCCTTGAATAAGCCAACACCACTTCAGTTGGATGTGTCCTTTCCTTCACTGAAAGACATCAAATGGAGTTTAGCAAGGTTAATATATTTGTTCAACATACAACTGGAGAAAAATGTTGCCACGTAAGTAAGCCAATTGTACCTTCTTTCTAGTATGTCGCTTTTCTATTTATCTTTCTTAATGGCTTAGCTCGATGATAGATGCAGAAATGACATCATATAATGTGCTAGACAAAGATTAAAAATTTCGTTTTCCGAAAAATAAATATAGGTGGCTTGAATCAGGAAACTCGTATTTGTTACCTCTTTAATTTGTTATGGACCTGAATCCTAATGCTTATTAACTTTTACAGTATTCATGGACTTGTACTAGTAGGGTTTTAGGTCATCTGAATTTATTATTTTCTCTTATTTCGGTTGCAATAGTGGACTTCTAATTGTCATCGTTGTATAGGCTTACCATCTTTTTAGCTAGTTTAGGTTTATAATACATGAAGGGATAGGAAGAACGTATATGCATGGTAGTTCTTTGTAATGCGTTCACTAAAACACATTGAGGAGGTAATTGCGTGACGCACAAGACCTTATTCTGATTTTTCCTGATAAAAGGCAAATCATCTATTTTTCATTTTGTGCAGGTTTTTTATTGTGCTTTTGGCATCATGCTTCTCATTTGTGATGATTGGTGGTTTACTGTTCTTTAAATTCAGGTAAACTCTTCCAGACGTGATATGTTATACTTATTTGTGCTGGTGCTGTCTACAAGTGTATGAAAAACTATAAGTAGATTAAGTTTCTCGTGTACAGATGCCAAGTAATCCCCTATTTTATTAATTTCTAATGATCTTCTTGTTAAAGCAAACTTAGAAAACTTTAGCAGAAGCATTTTGTCCATTTTTCATGCCTTTGTTCCCGCCCTACCTAGTGTAAGCTGGTAGACAAGGTATATTTTATTTATTTATTTCACGTCTTGCGGCATGCCCCTCACATGTAGGCATGATTCCTTGGGCAAGCACGTGAGAATATTTTAATTTTTTATTGATGGATGGAAATGAAACTTGAAGAATCACCTGTTCAACTTGAAGAATCACAAAAGACTTTATGCTTTTTTCTGTATAAACACACGCTACATCCAAAATGCATATGTGACAAAACAAGCCATATATTATCAGCTAATGGCGAAAAATATCTAGTATACTCTCAATTAGCCACTTTCAACTAATAATGACCACTTTAAGAAAGTTGGAAGTTCTTTAGGATGTTGAACAAAATAAATATTGTCTGGATATTTAGTTGCACCAGAGTTACAAAGCCAGGCTTAAGTTTCTTCAAGTTCCGACGTGGTTTTAACCCATGATAGAGCAACCAACATTTTTATTTGGATTCACTTATGCTATGCTCCAGTCAGTCATGTTACTTCTCTTTGCTCTTGTTTTCCTTGCTTTCCCTCTCTTTTCTTTTCTTTCCCTTTATTTTTTCGTATTACTGAAAGCACTGTGTATTAGGAATCTTCTTTACTTTTGAGCTTTACCTTGTATGAAGATTGGCAAAATTTTGTGGTTTAGTTGCTTTCAGATTAAAAGCAACATTTATGGATATTATTTTAGCCATGGGATATTTTTATCACTTGCTTTCACTGTGCTTCACTATATCGTCGTGTCTACATATTGTTCTGATAGTGAATTTTGTTGAAGCTATGTATGGGAAATTATTCAACCAAATCTTTTCTCCTTGTCTGTTGATATGCCGATCTTCTTCTCCAGTTATTTCCCTATCCACATGTTTGTATGCTGATTTAGATATTTTCGTTATGAAGAAAAAGCAGGGGTAGTGCTTACTCTTTGGAGGACTGCTTATGGGAGGCGTGGGCATGCCTCTGTTCATCATCTACTCACCTGAAAGTGTGGTTTATCTTTATCACATTTGATTTTGTTGATAAAATGTAATCTTCTTACTGATTAGCAATATGCAGATCGCAACAATTATCACTACTAAAAGGACTTGCATTTGACTGCAGCAAAGAACAAGAGTTGAACGTGTAATAGGATTCATCCTTGCCATATGGGGCATTCTATTTTATTCTCGTCTATTGAGCACCATGACTGAACAATTTCGGGTAAGCTCTCGAAAACTGCTTACATTCAACTTCAAGCTTTATTGATAAGACAGTCCCCTGACAATAATTTGAACAGAATAATATGCAAAGACTCAGAGAAGGTGCACAAATGCAAGTTTTGGAGACTGATCATATTATAATTTGTGGAGTTAACAGTCATCTCAACTTTATACTAAAGCAGCTAAATAAGTACCATGAATTTGCTGTTCGCTTAGGTACTGCCACTGCTAGGTAATCACTCTGCTTAGAGTTTACCATACAAAACCATGCACAGTGCTAAAGTATTACAAGTGCTGTCACCTGTTTGCAGGCGGCAGAGAATTCTTCTGCTATCTGATCTTCCAAGAAAGCAAATGGACAAAATGGCCGACAACATCACCAAAGATCTCAATCATATTGATGTCCTTACAAAGAGGTCAGAATCGCTTCATAAAGAAGAAAAAAATGTTATGTTGCAGAGTTCTGGAAGTTGCTATAGAAGATCAAACAAGTCTTAGTGAAGCTACTTCATTACTTGTATAGATCACCTGTGCGTATGTTCTGTATAATAAGGGGAATATCATAGAAGACGCTTATTCAAACAAAGCTGTATGCCCATCAGCTTTAATCTTTACTTTCTTTTATGGAATAGAAATGCTTCATTAGCTGTTCCAAATAACCAATTTGTTGAACTGCTTAGATGGAAAACATCATTTTTGCCGGATTCCCTCTTTGTGAAATGCGCTCTTTGTTAATGATGTTATATAATGTTACTCTGCATCCTCTTAAAACTTATACTGTCTAGAGAGAGGTAACCACTTGTTTATTAATCTTATTAGATTTTCAAGCTACCCTTTCTTGTATGGGGCGAGGTTCTTTTCCCATGAGCTAAGCACGCCACTGTCTTTTGACTATGGGTGGCTACTTAATTTGAGGATCTTTGTCTACTTTGAAACCTTATTAAATATGAACCTACATCTCATCCGAATTGACTTTTTTCATATAAAGCAGTCAATACCCCCAAAACATGACTTCAATAGCATTAAACAATATCAGGTTTTTATTAAACCAGTCTTGGTAATTATCAAATCAAGCCTGAGATTTGATATGCTGTTGCTGAGATACATATTTCCGTAGCCGATGCTGGTCCAGTCTTACTCCAGAGCATGGTGTGTGCATCTATCTCCCTCACTTTGAAGAGGGGGAGCCGGTTGAAATTCCTCTAACTTGTATATATTGCTAATGGTGTGATTGTACTTTGGCTTTCCTAGTGGGTTTTGTTGTGCCGTGCAAAATCTCATAGGTCGACTTTGGCCTCGGGATATGAGGCCTCAGTCTGTCCATGTTTCTTGAGCTATTCTATGGATAAATTGAAGTTGCTGTAATTTCAGCTGCCTTCAATCTAACATTTCATATGTTTTCTCTAACAGTTGCAGTTTAAGTATGACAAAATCATTTGAGAGAGCTGCAGCCAATAAGGCACGCGCAATTGTTATACTTCCAACAAAGGGAAATAGGCAAGTGATTTGTTTTACTTGGGCACATTATGAAATGTTAGTCGTATCAATTTTATTGTTCTTTAGTTCTCTTTCAAATGGTAAGTGGACAAAGGGATGGAAGACAATTGAATTTGAAACTTTTCCGACATTTGGTTCAATATTTGGAAAGTGACCAACATACTTAGTTTTATTTTCATCATCAACAACAACAACCCAGTGTAATCACAAGTGCGGTCTGGGGAGGGTAGGTACACACCTTACCCCTACCTTGGAAGGGCAGAGAGATTGTTTCGGATAGACCCTCGGCTAAAGAAAAGATGGACCAAGCACTGATAGCAAGTAATAGCAAGACAATATATTTAGAAAACTAAATCCAAGATAGCTAGTTTTATATTCATCAAAATTTAAAATATTGAAGAGTGATTGACAACGTTAGCAGCTGGGTAAAGTATTGATTTTCACTTGAAAGAGGTCAATATGTATTTTTTAATCCTAAATATATATTATAATTGGGTTTTAAGGTTACTGAAGCATTTTCTGTACATAATTTAGATAATCCTGTGTTTTTGTAATAGTTAAACTTACAGCTTAGAGTTTCAGTGTGGTTTGTCGTTCTCTCAGTTATTTCTGTATTGGTTGAATCAGTATGCAATTGATTCCGAAGATAATTTCTGGAAAAAAAAAGTCCTTGTAAGCCACAGACAGAACATGTGGGAATCATAGAACACATTTAACCATGCAACAGAAACTCAATCTGTTATCTGCAACTTAAGTGCTCAAGTCAAGACCTTATGAAAGGCTTTATGCCCTGAGCACCAGATGAAATGTATGTGAAATGGGATCTCTTATTGGGAGTAGTTTTATGCACGGTTCTATGAGTCTTTTTCTATGTTTGCACTAATCTACTTTTAAACTAATGGCGTTTTACGTGCAATTTGAATTTTGTGCTTGTGCTTTCTTCCTGTTTTCTTATTTTCCATATTCTTTATTTAATTAGGTATGAGGTCGACACAGATGCATTTCTCTCAGTGCTTGCCCTTCAACCCCTTCCAGAAATGATCTCTGTGCCCACCATAGTTGAGGTATGTTGCGCTGGAAGAGTATTTTGACCATATTGAATTATCATTTATAAGTTAGTGACTCCTTCCCGGATTTCTTTCAGGTTTCAAGCTATAACACATGTGAACTCTTGAAGTCAATTTCAGGATTAAGAGTGGAACCTGTTCAGAATGTCACATCAAAATTGTTTGTTCAATGCTCTCGCCAAAAGGGACTCATTAAGATATACAAACATTTGCTTAATTATCGAAGTAATGTGCTGTTTCTCAGTTAAATCATCTTGGTTTCATGAATTCATTTTATCGAATGCATAACCTGAAAAGGAAGAGTTGGCATGTCTCTCATTGTCTTCCACTGTTTTAAGTGCTGCATTCTGATAATGGTCTCAAATGCATTTAATTTTTGTCGAGGAGTGGATCATCCACTGGTGGAGTGGTAGACTTGAGTTAAATATCATGTAGTTTGTTTGATTATGATGGCTACTTAGGTTCTTTTACTTCATCTGCCTGTAGCCATTTGTGACAAAATCAACTTTAGTTTGATTGTGTCTTTTGTTCTGTCTGTTAAGGAGCTAAGTTCTTTAAGACGTTACGATTTCGTGGTCCATAACCTTGAACTTTGGACATCCGGTGCTTATTTCAAAGCACTAATATCTTAAGTTTCTCAAAGTTTTCAGCGAACTGGAAGTCTGCTCTGTCCTTAATTGTGGGATAACATTTCAAGTCTGAAGTGTCTGGCCGTTGAAGTTTTTGCTTTATGTAGTATGTTTCTTTTGTTCATATAATCATGTCATATATCTCGCTATATCCTGACAGTGAAATTAGAATAAAAATGTATATGGATCTTATGTCATCATTGGACACTGTTTTCTAAGAAGACCACCTTTTCATCTGGCAGAGAACGTATTCAATCTTTGCAGTTTCCCTCACCTTGTGGGATTAAAATATAAGCAATTAAGACGTGGCTTCCAAGAGGTAGTTATTTGACTAGAGTTGTTTTAACGAGCGATTTCATAAAGTTTTGTAGGTCTTGAAGTCATCTTTAATTCTGCTTTTTCTTCAGGCTGTTGTTTGCGGTCTCTATCGACAAGGGAAGATAAATTTCCACCCAAGGGATGACGAAGTTTTGGAAGAAACTGATGAAGTATGTTCTCAACATTATATATTACAGTTGTGTCACCCATATGAATAATCCAACTGTAGATGTTAAATAGTCTTTGATTGTCATTGTGGAAAAAATAAGAATTTCAGTGATGCACTCAGCACCCTGCTTTTTTTACTGATTTAATTATTCTGCATATGTCCTTTAAAGATATTGTATGCAGCTCATTGATTTGTAAACTGTGCATTTAGTATAAGCAGACTACATTAGTCTCAAGTAGGACAGAGAAATAATAACTAGAAGCAGGTTGATTGACTTGCTAATTGAGTTTCTTTAAGTATGACACTGTACTAGGTGACATGTATTCTTAGACGGGTATTTATTGCTTTCATGATTGCCACTGAAGTGAATATTTCTTCTCGTTTAAGCTTTGACATTTTATCAGTTTGAATGTGAAAGCGATTCTTTTCTGCCAATAATGCCGTACATTTTGGTCTTCCTATGGAAATGTACAGAGTTCAAACTTTTTTTTGCTACAGTCCCCTAATTTAGTTTACTTGCATGCTGATTCTCTCACTTCGATGTATACAGGTTTTGTTTATTGGACCCATTCATGGGAAAAAAAGACCGCAGCTAGTATACTCAAATCTTTCTGATGAAAGTGACAAAGCGATAAATGATTCTCACACAGTGGAAAAGAATGGACAATTCCGGGGTAATGCTTTGGAGATAACAAAAGCACGTCTTGAGAATATAGTGAAACGGACAAAATCAGGGTCTAAGGTATAACAGACTTAGGAAAGGGTGCTGCACCTGCCACCTTCATTACTGTGTATTTTAGCTAACTTTTTACAGCACCTGCCACCTCCATTACTGTGTATCTTAGCTAACTTTTTAAGCATCTGAATACAGGCATCTGATTCGTGTCTGGGACCTAAAGAATGCATATTAATGCTTGGATGGCGTCCTGATATTGTGGAAATGATTGAAGAATATGATAATTACCTGGGACCTGGAAGCACAGTGGTAAGTCATGCTCTTCTTCTGGAAATGGAAGACATCCACTTCCAACCTCTACATTATAGGCTGATAAAATTGGATAATTAATGAAGAAGCATTTATGGATTAGCATCTGAATTAATCACCATATCTGTTGGACTTTCTGACGGAGTGCCTGTAGATTTGCTTACTTAGACTAAGTCTTCTTATTAATCCTTTCGTTTTGCGTCACATAAACTTGTAGGAGGTGTTATCAGATGTCCCTATGGATGACAGACATAAAGCTAGCAGACTTGCTGGTCAAGGAAAGCTAAAAAATGTCCGAGTCACCCACAGGGTATTTCTGACTCAGTATCTTATGTTGATTATCTGGACTAGATTTAGATCTGTCCATCTTAATCTGTCCACATTCGTAATATGCTACAGATTGGAAACCCAATGGACTATGACATGCTGACAGACACCATTGCAAACATTCAAAAATCATTTAAACAAGGCGAAGAATTTCCATTCTCCATTGTCGTGATATCTGATAGAGAATGGTTACTAGGAGGTAAGAGAAATGGTATTATCTTATTTCTGATATAAACGCATATTTAAATTTACATTTCATTTCTCCAGATGCATCGAAGGCGGACAAGCAATCTGCATATTCTCTCCTTCTTGCTGAAAACATCTGCGACAAGCTTGGCATGAAGGTATTTGCTCAAAATATGTCTTAACAATTCTATTTCCTACTTCATTTTCTTAATAAAGCTCTTCAGTGTGTATAATTTGAGCCGAGGGTCTATCGGAAACAACCTCTCAACCTTCTCAAGGTGGGGGGTAAGGTCTGCGTACGCGCTACCCTCCCCAAAGCCCACTTGTGGGATTATACTGAGTTTGTTGTTGTTGTTGTTGTTGTTGTTGTTGTTGTCTTCGGTGTGTAAGATGCTCCCCGACAAGTTTCAAATGCGTGCAAGCACGCAGAGAGGTTGATGGCTGATTTGTTACTTGCACGGACAACAGGGTTTTAGGGAGAATAAAACATGATATATTGGTAGTTCTGGAAATATATATGTACTGGTTTTCTTTCTACTTCATCATGAGTATGTTATTCGTGTGGTATTGGGGCGGGGGTTGCCGTAAGAGGATAACTTCTTTCTTAGCTTGCATCATATTCTTTTATCCTATAGACTGTTAAATTTAAACCATTTTGATTTATGTTGAAGTTTGGCAAGATAATAATCCCTTATACAGGCTTTACAACTTAGCTGCTGACTGCTGTTACCAGAGAAAACACATAAAAACTTGAACACTGTTATGTAATGGTTAAAGTGCTGCTCAAATCTTCTGATCTGAGTATCCTGATGTTTGAAGAAAACATTCCAATTTTATCACTATTCATGTATTCTTTTATTCATGTAAATACTAAATAACACTACTGATTGGTTCATCAATTTTCTGCTGTGCGGAATCAATGATCAAATTGCAGGTGCAAAATCTTGTTGCAGAAATTGTCGATTCCAAATTGGGTAAACAGGTAATTTGTTTCTAACAAAGGGTTGTTTTTGGTTTATTTACATGAATGTGTAAGCCATAGCTTTTTTCTTCTTCTTCAAGTTGTGGACTTTTGATGGCCTTTGTGAATGTTCTGTTCTCCAGATTACAAGAATCAAGCCTTCCCTCACTTACATTGCCGCAGAGGAAGTAATGAGTCTTGTCACTGCTCAAGGTTTCATTTATTTCCTTATAAAGCCAAAATAAATTCTTCTTAATTAGATTTTGTTACAGAATAATTAGTGAGATGTAAATAGATTACTTTCCATAGATAGATGACTCAATTATAGGAGCTGATCCTTAGGATATTTTCCTTAATTTTGTTTGATTTAGTTTCCTTTGATAGAGTCTTGTGTAAGTGTATAAATCTCTTGTATTCATGAATAGAAATACAACAAGTTATTCTCTCTGATTACATGGTATCAGAGCAAAGGTTGCCTCTTCGCCGAGGTTGAGCCGTCTCCGTCGCCGGCAGCTGGGTTGCTTCGTCGGAAGTTAAGCAGCAACTCTGTTTGGTGGTTCTGACATGAAAATCAACCACCAACCACTGACTCATTAAGAATCGCAACACTCAGATCTTTAAGAATCAGGTGGCCGAAGATAAACGCGTGAAGTTCACGCGCCGGCAAACTCATTCGGACCAAGATTCTCCGGCGAGCGCGTGAGGGCGCGTCGAGATTCAAACTGTGAACTGCTGTACTTTGACGGCATCACTTTGCAGTCTCCGAGAGGTATCTGGTGGTTTCTGTTCAAAAGGACCACGGGTTGAGAGAGTCAGTTTGGGCAGCTTTGTTCTTTTGGTGTTCGCTATCTGTCAGGTTCCTTCAGTATTGTTTCTTTGGTCAACTATATATTTGATACTCTATTTGTTGAGTAGTTTTCTGGATTTCTAATCTAAATTCAAGAGTTTCTTCAGTAGCATATTGCTAAGAGATTAGTTTGCCTTTTCTTTTGGAAATTCAAATTGTCCCTGTTTTTGCTCGAGCAGATCTGGTTAGATCCTTTTGCTTCATTTTTGTTACTATTTCTCAGATTGTTGAGTGTTGTTTGGAGTTTTTATTTGTGGGTCAGACTATTATTCTATGATTTGTTGATGATCGGTCTTATTCCAGCGAAGCTTTGTTGGAATTAAGGAAAACAATTATTATATCCTGATTGGTTGAGACTTTGGCTTGGCCTCTCTCTGTAGCTCTGTTTTGTCCCTGTTGAGGAGTTGATTTACTACAAAGCTTTGTCAGTTTCTTTGATCGTGAGATTTAGTTGAAAAAAAATGGCTATAAAAGGTAAGCAAGGAGGAAATAATGCTACAACTCCTAGTCCAACAATCTTGGTTTCGGATGAGTTTTTGAAATTCCTTCAATGTCAGAAATCAATTAAGGAATTTTCTTCAGTTAGTCCTTTTGATGGGTCAGATAAAACATGTCTTATCACCTCTTCAAATAAATGGGTGATTGATTCAAGTGCCACAAATCACATGACAAGTAATCCGAATATTTTTTCTAGCTTTCGGTCACACAAAGCACCCTCTCCGGTTACTGTAGCTGATGGATCAACTTGTAGCATTGTTGGATCTGGGACTGTTAAACCAACTTCCTCTATTACCCTATCATCTGTTTAAGTCTACCAAATTTGGCCTTTAATTTGATTTCCGTTAGTAAAATCACTAGAGACCTTAATTTTTGTGTCGCATTCTTTCCCGGCCATTGTGTGTTTCTAGATCTGACAACGAAGCAGGTTATTGGTAAAGGATATTTATTTGGTGATCTCTACATCCTTGATGAATGGGAGCCACGGTCTGTTGCATGCTCTAGTGTCGTGTCTCCTTTTGAAGCACATTGTCGATTGGGACATCCCTCTCTACCTTTATTGAAGAAGCTCTGTCCTCAGTTTCAGAATATTTCTTCATTGGACTGTGAGTCATGTCGGTTTGCAAAACACCACCGCAACTCAATAGCTCCAAGGGTTAATAAGCGGGTTGAGTCAGCTTTTGAGTTAGTTCATTCTGATGTTTGGGGACCATGCCTTGTTGTTTCCAAAACTGGACATAAGTATTTTGTCACTTTTGTAGATGATTTTCTCGAATGACTTGGATTTATTTTATGAAGAGTCGCTCTGAAGTGTTTACTCACTTTTGTGCCTTTTATGCTGAGGTCAAAACTCAATTCAATACTTCAGTACGTATTCTAAGGAGTGATAATGCTAAAGAATACATGTCAGAATTGTTTCAGTCTTATATGAGACAACACGGTATTCTCCATCAATCTTCATGTGTCGATACACCTTCCCAAAATGGAGTTGCTGAGAGGAAGAATAGGCATCTACTTGAGACAGCTCGGGCACTTTTGTTCCAAATGAAGGTTCCTAAACAGTTTTGGGCTGATGCAGTCTCAACGGCTTATTTTCTGATTAATCGGATGCCATCTACTGTGCTCGTTGGTGCTGCGCCTTATAGTATTCTTTTTCCTAGCAAGTCACTAATTCCGGTAGAGCCTAAGGTATTTGGAAGCACATGTTATGTTCGCGATGTTCGACCATCTGTTACTAAGTTGGATCCCAAGGCATTGAAGTGTGTTTTTCTGGGCTATTCTCGTCTTCAGAAGGGGTATCGGTGTTATTCTACTAAACTTGGCAAATATCTGGTGTCAATTGATGTGGTATTTTTGGAGATGACACCATTCTTCTATGCACCTCCTATTTCTACGGGTCAGGGGGATGATGATGAGTGGTTAGTCTATCATGTTACCTGTACTTTGACAGAACAATCAAATAATGTTGTTCCTCCATCTCCCAGTTTTTCTATTCATAACCAATCGACTATTCTGCCCTCTGAACCTGCCCCGTCTACGCTAGAAAGACCGCCAATTGTTAAAGTTTACTCGAGAACAAAAAGAGACCGATGACACATGTCGTGCACCACCTTCTTCGTCATCAGATCCTCCGCCACCTGATCTTTCTGAAAACCTTGACCTCCCTATTGCTCTTGGTAAATGTACGCATACTTGCAAATCCACATATTCCATTGCTAATTTTGTATCCTACGATCGCTTATCCTCTACGTCTTGATCTTTGATTGCCTCTCTAGACTCCATCTCTGTACCCAAAACATTGAAGGAGGCTTTGAATCATCCTGGATGGTCTAATGCGATGCTTGAGAAAATACACGCCTTAGAGGAAAACCACACGTGGGATTTGGTGGATTTACCGAAGGGAAAGAAGCCAGTGGGATGTAAGTGGGTCTTCACAGTTAAAGTTAATCCAGATGGTTCTGTGGCGAGACTTAAGGCCAGACTTGTGGCTAAAGGGTATGCTCAGACTTATGGGGTAGATTATTCAGACACGTTCTCTCCAGTTGCCAAGCTCACTTCTGTTCGCTTGTTCATCTCTCTAGCCGCTTCTGAAAATTGGCCTTTACATCAGTTGGATATCAAGAATGCGTTCCTTCATGGTAATCTTCAAGAGGAAGTGTATATGGAGCAACCTCCTGGTTTTGTTTCTCAGGAGGAGTATGGGAAAGTCTGTCACTTAAAGAAGTCACTGTATGGCTTAAAGCAGAGTCCTCGGGCTTGGTTTGGAAAGTTCAGTGAAGTAGTTCAGGAATTTGGGCTGAAAATGAGCAAACGTGATCACTCAGTCCTCTACCGGCAATCAGTAGCTGGCATTATCCTCCTTGTCGTATATGTTGATGACATTGTCATTACAGGAAGCGATTATGTAGGGATCTCTTCCCTAAAGTCTTTCTTGCACACTAGGTTTCATACGAAGGACTTAGGCAAGTTGAAATACTTTTTGGGAGTAGAAGTAAATAGAAGCAAGAAGGGAATTCTTCTGTCTCAAAGAAAGTATATTCTTGATCTACTTGCAGAAACTGGAAAGTTGGCAGCCAAACCCTGTAGTACTCCAATGATTCCTAATGTGCATCTTATGAAAGATGATGGCGATCCTTTTGAGGATCCAGAGAGATATAGAAGGCTAGTTGGAAAGTTAAACTACCTCACTGTGACTCGTCCAGATATTGCTTTCGCGGTAAGTGTTGTTAGCCAGTTCATGTCCGCGCCTACGGTCAAACACTGGGCAGCTTTGGAACAGATTCTATGTTACTTGAAAGGAGCTCCTGGACTTGACATATTGTATAGCAATCACGGCCATACTCGTGTTGAGTGTTTTGCAGATGCTGATTGGGCTGGATCTAAAATTGATAGAAGATCTACGACAGGCTATTGTGTCTTTGTTGGAGGGAACCTGGTATCGTGGAGGGGTAAGAAACAAAGTGTTGTATCTCGATCTAGTGCAGAATCTAAGTACAGAGCTATGTCACAGTCTATGTGTGAGATTATGTGGATACATCATCTTTTAACTGAGATTGGGTTGAAGCATCATACACCTGCAAAACTCTGGTGTGATAATCAAGCTGCTCTTCATATTGCCTCAAATCCGGTGTATCATGAAAGAACTAAACTTATTGAGGTTGACTGTCATTTTATTCGTGAGAAGATTCAGGAAAACTTGATTTCCACTGGCTACGTGAAGACAGGAGAGCAACTAGCTGATTTGTTTACAAAGGCGTTGCATGGAACTCGAGTTAATTACCTTTGTAACAAGTTGGGTATGATCAATATCTATGCTCCAGCTTGAGGGGGAGTGTTACAGAATAATTAGTGAGATGTAAATAAATTACTTTCCATAGATAGATGACTCAATTATAGGAGCTGATCCTTAGGAAATTTTCCTTAATTTTGTTTGTTTTAGTTTCCTTTGATAGAGTCTTGTGTAAGTGTATAAATCTCTTGTATTCATGAATAGAAATACAACAAGTTATTCTCTCTGATTACAGATTTTAATTGATTTCTGAATTAATTCTTTTTTTTTTTTTGCCACAGTTGCAGAAAATATTCAATTGAATGAGGTTTGGAAAGAGATTTTGAACGCCGATGGAGATGAAATATATGTTAAGGTAATAATTAGCTTCTTCTAACGCCGATGGAATGTTAGCTTCTAAATCAAGATTATTAAGTCAATTATCTCGAATCCATGAAGTAAATCTTCAGATAAACTTCACTTCTCTGCGACAGATCTAGTTCATGAATGAATTGGCATGTGTTTCCTGAGAGAGAGAATGATTTTAGGATTAGTAGAAGTAAAACATAATATATGCCTGTGAATTCAGCTATCGTAAGAAGAGTGAAGTTGATGTGATATTACATGGGATTGCAGTGCTTAATGTAGATAATTCAGATAGTTAGGATCTGCATTTCAGGATAATGGTATGACATATGAAGATGTAACAGATAGAATTAAAATCGAACGGTAGAAATGGAGAAGTGCTGTTGGAGTGTTATGCAAAATGAGGACACCTACCAAAGCGAAATGCGACTTTTATATTGTTGTATAACAGTGTTATATGAAGTAAAAGTTGGGCCTTTAAGGTTCAATAGATGAGTGTCGCAGAATGCAAATCTTAAGATAGATGTGCAATCATACAAGATTATAATAATCACATTCGACAAAAGGTCCAAAGTGGCACTAGCATATACCTGATAAAATGGGAGGTTGCAGAGATGGTTTGGTCATTATGTTGTATGTACACCTCCCAATATACCTGTCAGTTGGTGTGAAACCATGATAATTGAAAGTGTGGTAGACGTAAAATCACAAGGAAGAAAGTTGTCTCTAAAAACCTACAATCTCTTGAATTCCATGCAGACTTAGCGAAAAAATATAATGCATTGGTAGAAAAAGATCTATAGAGGCAATACCAACTAGTTTGGATTAAGACAAGAGTCATGTCAGTAAGCTCTTAGGTCCCATTTCTTCTGGGAATCCTTTTAATATTATTAGAGATTTTTCTGTCAAAAAAAATGTAGAAAACATCTAGTGCTAAAAAAACCTAAATAATTGAATATTAAAATTTAACATGTCAATAATGGAACGTAATGAACAGTGAGAATTATATCATGTAACTGGCACCAACTAGCTTAGGATTGAGGTGTAGTTGTACTGTTGCTTCATTTATCCCTCTTCCCTCGAATAATGAAAAACCTAAAAGTAACTTAGAGAAGGAAAACTTCGTTATGACTCCTTTCATACTACATTACAGGACATTAGCCTTTACATGAAGGAAGATGAGAAACCTTCATTTGCTGAACTTTCTGAAAGAGCTCATTTGCGAAGAGAAGTTGCTATCGGATATGTGAAGAACAACAAGAAGGTATAGAATCTAGATTTTCTTTTGTAAATGAAAAGGACATAGAAGCTCAACCTCGTGCCTAATCCATTGCAGGTTATCAACCCAATCCCGAAATCAGAACCCCTTTCTCTTGAACCGGGTGATTTGCTGATAGTGATATCAGAACTTGAAGGAGAACAACCCATCATCACAGTCAACAAACAAACAACAACGACCCCTCAATCCCAAGCAACTCAAGGAAAATAATTGAGGTTGCACCTTACTTATTCCACCAACTACGATGAATGCCAGGTCGTTGTATAGGTTCTCTGTTGGATCATCAGTTCTTGGCTTCTTATCAATTGCTGAAAAAGAAGGTAAGAAAAGAAACAAGGAGCAAGCATGATTTATAGTGTTCGTGAATGTTGCAGATAATAGGAGATACAAGTTACAGGAAATGTATAAGAAATAAGCACATCAAAGTTATAAAATTTGCAAAGAAAAAACCAAAGTTGGATAGAACTATAGGTCTTTTCCTCATCTTATTCTATTTTTTCCCACTGCTGGTTAAGAGGGAAAATCCCATTTGGAGAAAAAGTCCCACATTTTATAGTAGAATCATCAACTCAAAGGAGAGGTTTTAGAAACAGTTCAAGCCAAATATGATTTTCATATTTTTAAAGGAGTGATGAAGATTGCTGGTGAAGTAAACTTCATCTTACAAGTTTTTGATCAAGAGAACTGATACTATACTGTACAAAGAATGATTCTTGATAACTTGTACTCTGTGTGAGAATGATTTCCCACAATGTATAATAAAATCCTTTTTTGGTTCCATAGTAATGACATTTTTTCATAACTTCTATTGCTTTTTATTTTACTTTTAATTTTATTATATATAAAATTAGATTGAGTTGAGCTTAATGGAGCAACATGGACGGTGAGGATTGAGATAGCCGACTCTTACTTACTTGAGATTGAGGTTTAGCTGTTGTAATAGCGACCTTTTTTGCTAGTTATTTTGTCCATTATAATGACCTTTTTTCTTGTTTTTCATTATAATGATTTAGGCTCAAAGGTAAGGTAGAGCTTCTTGAATGTCATAAAGGTTAGAAAAAAAGAATACCTATTTCAGGGTTCTAGTCTAAGGAAATAAACATTTTTAGTGTTAGTGGGGAAAGATTGAAGAGGAGGTCTCAAGTACCTTCGGGGGATTTGCATCTATACCCGCTTTTTGTGTCACGTTTTAACTTGTGCTCGCTTTGTAAAAAAAATTACAAGCGTACCCGCTTTTTCGCATAACTTCAGCATACGGGGCTGAAGTAGCAAAGGCAATCACGCAAAACTTCAGCATTCTAATAGACGGGCCTGAAGTAGCAAGTGTGCTGAAGTTTTTGTTTTTTAACTGTCGAACTTCTGCTCTAGAGCTGAAGTTATTTAGTTAACCTAGATACTAATATTGAAGAGATTGCCATTATCCCTTTCAAAAGTCCCCAGAACAAGATCGTTTAATTACCGAACAAACTTTAATGTTCCAAAGCTTTATGCCGTTTTCTCAAAGGAAAACAAAAAGAAGTTATCATTAGTTATGTCTGCTCGACTGTATAGAGAAGCAGGAAGAGGCTAATGGATAAAAATTCTTATATGAAAAAAAATCAATGACAATCAATGATAGAATGTCAGCCTCTACTTATGTGAGAATTGTTATATTTTATGCCTGGAGCGTGTAAGAATCATTAATATAAATAAAGTCTGTTTATGCTGATTGAGTAGTATCTTTAAACAAGAGGAGAAATGGGGCTGAAGTTATTTAAAAAGTGGGTACAAGTTAAAAGTTTTTAAAAAAATGGGTATACGTTAAATGGGGGCGACCAAATAGGGCGCCCCGTGCAATTTTTACAGTACCTTCTCCTCAAACCCATTAGACCTGTTAAATAGGTCGACCCCACCCGGACTGAATCCGTTGACTCTTGGCCCGTGGGTCCTTAACCGGGCCGGGCCGGTTCATTTTCTTATAAGGGTCGGTTCGGATTTGACTCATTCATCAAAATATGTTGACCTGACCCGGGCCCTAATGGGCCGAATCCAATTTAACTAAAAAAAGTTGAAAACTAATAAATGATAAAAATTTCAAACTTTATACATATATACGAACTTGAAATTACTACATGTCTTTGAAGCAATTAGAATAAAAATAAAAGAAAAATCATACTTTATTAACATTAAAACTTGAGAAACATATGAAATTCGACTATTTTTATAACTAATAATCTAAAACATATGGAATTCGACTACTTCGACAAAACACTTCATAGTGTCTGGTATTATATTCTTTCTTCAATGTTTGGATTCAATTTTCTACCACTTTTTATATATATAT